CTCACTCATTGAGTCAGTTTCACTACCTTCCATCGATAACCACGCCATGATGTCATCGTTCAACTGAGCTGTTCCCGCCTCTCTCTGCAGTTTCAACGCTGGAGATTTGACGCCGGAAACGCCACCGGCTTCCTCACTCGCTCTGTTGCTTTCCTCCTCTTCCTCCATAGCTTATTCCTCAAAGAGAAAACGAAAGATGAAATCCAAAATCACTTTACATATTTAATCGACGACGTGGGAAGGAGGGATCTGGAAGTTTGATTTTGATGTGACGACCGATATATTTAATGCCAGCAATCTGATTCGATGGTTTTAAATGTCTTAAATGACGTGGCGGATCAATCTTTATGCCTTTTACACACACATATACGTGTATATATATATATATATATGTATGTATATATGGGAATGCCCTGTGGCAAAGATAGTGCCACCTGGAACGTATATAGTGACATGGCAGGAGAGAGTATGTAGAAAAATGGAGGGAACATTTGTGTTATTGGAAAGGTAGCTTCTATTTTCACCTAAAAATGCTTTTTATATTTTAAGTTTTATTCCAAAATATCTTTAAATAAAATTAATTAATTTTTGATAATTATGTTTCAATTCTTTTTTTATTTTTTTAATTTATATTTTTTAAGTTTTTAAAAATTTTTAAATTTATATTTTTAAAAAATTTTATTTGTATTTAATAAAAATGTTGGAATTTACATTTTCTATAGTTTTTAAAAATTTTTAAATTTGTATTTTTGATGCTTTTATAAAGTTTTAAAAACGTAATTTGGAATCAACAATTTTCACACATAATATTTAATGAAAATTTATCAAAATCAAAGGTAACTTTGATTACATCTCTACCCTTTTTTTTTTAGTTATTTTCTTTTTTTCTTTCTCCGTTTTACCCCTTTTGTTTGCACGAATTACAATCTTTCGTGGAATTAGCTTATATAAAGGAAAGCTTGGACACATACTAATATCAGGAGAGTTATTGCTTAATTAAGAGGAATTTTATAGTGTGGTGACCTTAAATCCATAATGGATAGCTTAAAAGAAGAAACAATGGGTCAACTTCAAATTTTAATTGAAAATCTTTCGTTCGGGAAAAATACATTTTATGAATAAACTTTTAATCGAATATTTAAATGAACCATAATAATTGTTGATTTCTTTTACCATGCCGTTTAATTTATCTCATATATTCATTTGTTTATGGGTCATATCGCACGGATTAGATAACATTTTCAAAGGTGCATCGTTTATTAAATTCATTTACTTTACATTTATTATGAAAATATTTTATATTAATATTTTTAAGATATTTAAAATAAAAGAGTCATGAAAAAATAAAAAATAAATAAGAGTATATTATTACTATCGTACGGAAAGGAGAGTTGGATTAGGATTGCCTGACTGTTGGCGGTTGCCGGTTGGTGCGGATCCCAGAGAGCCGAGAAGGAAAAGGTACCTCAGGCCCTGAGGCTGAAAATTAGATGTGAAGCTGGATGGTAGGATGGGCCCCCACTAACACATCTGACTAAACTTTACTTTGACACGTGCAAATCGTAATTTAATGTCGGTTGTCCTTTGGTAGGTACTGAACACGCCGGCCCACCTAAACAGAGGCTGCAATAACTCAAATGGCTACAAAACGTGGAACACGGGAAGAACAAGTAGAGATTTAGTAGGTCGATAGACATTACTAGAATTTTAGGTACGCTTCTGTTATATTTTATTTTGTTTTGTTTATGGGATACAATTAAACGACATGTGGTTCAATTTGTGTAATGGCATTGAAACAGAACTTACTTCGTTGGCAAAATTGTGTCAGTTCATCCATTGTTTTTCCAGAACAAAAGATGGGATCTCACTCACACACAAATTTACATTTGTTGTACGTTTTACTTAAAAAAAAAATTATGCACATTCTAAAATAATAATCCGATTTTTGGATTGCTGGTTCATGTATCAATTTTACAGAGAGAGAGAGAAAGGGAGATGGAGTTACCTGTGATTAATGGTGATGACAAGTAGGTGAAACATGTGCTTCTTGTTTTAATCATGCCCTAACGTGTTCCTAAATTGTTTGAATATTAATGATTTTCATAAAGTTTAAAAAAAATTAATTTGAATATTTAATATTAAAATTAAAATTGTTTTCAAAAATTAAAAATTTTTAATTTTTAATATTTAAAAAATAAAAATTTTAAATGTTTTTAAAAAATGATATAATTTTAAGATATTCTAAAAAATGAATAAAAAAATAGAACTAATGAGTATCGTATATGTGAAATTGTTGTGTTGAATGTGTTGTGTGTATTTTATTTATTTTAATTATATATTTAGTTATTAATTATTTAAATTTATATTTAGAGTATATATTTAGGATTATTTTGAGTTAATTATTATTTAATTTATCATTTATAAATAATATACATTTAATTAAATTGGGAAATTAAGCAAAAATCAGTTTATAAATTTATTTTAGAATTAAATTTGTAACAATGAAGAATTATTAATAAAAAATAAGAGTTTGAGTTCAGTCTAAAATGTTCTTTTTGTCTTAGGAATCATTTGATATCACTAGAGGAGCAGCTATTTATCATTGGTAAACTCTTGTGTCTATCTATGAACAAGATATATCAAATGACTTTATACTAAATAGAAGATTCTATCTATAAATGAGATAAAAGAAATCTTAGAACCACATCAATTACGATTAAGGTTGGACAACTTCAACAATTTCATAGATGAACTTGAGGATTTTTGCACAAATTCAATTGCAACTTATGTGTGAAAATTTTAAAATCAAGTTCAACAACTCCAAATTTGGGTTTGATGAGTCAAAAAACTTGCTACCACTTACACTATGTTTAGATTAGGGGAAAAGGAAAGTAAGGAAAGAAAAATAAAGGAAAGCAATAAAAGTAGAAAAATCTTTCATTTATTTGAATAAATTTTTAATTTAAATGAAAAAAAAAAAGATGAAAAGTCAATAACCTTTAATTTTTTTCGTAATCTTTTTTTTTTAAATATCTCAATTTGAGAAAAAAAATCAAGGAAAGAAAAGTTAAAAAAAATTATTTTTATGCAAAAACGATTATATATTTTTTTTTATTATGACATTAAACTTAATTATATAATTAATATTTTCTATAAAAAGTAATTTTTTTATAAGTATTTTATATAACATCATAATTTATAAATATTTTATGTCTAAACAATAAAACAAGCTAACTTATTGTCAAAATAAATTAAAAGATTGAATTAAATATAAAATTAAAAGTAAATTAATAACTAACTAATATATCTTACTATATTAAACATTGTTAATTCTGTTAAAAATATTTACTTATATAAGTTAGGTAGTATAAAAATATATTTGTATATTATATGTTACTTTATTAAAAAAAGTTATAATTGAAAAAAATATTATGATAAATTATTTTTTTCCTTTTCACTAATTATCTAAATAATTGATGTTAAAATTTCTTCTTTTCTTTTTTTTATTATTAATTTTAACTATTCAAATAAAGGTACATGTATAATTTTTTTCTTTAAAATTTGTTTTCTTTTATTAATATTTATTCGAATATAGCGTTAATTTTATGATTTATTTCAAAATCAATTGTTGTACAATGCTTATCTTCGCCTATTGAAACAAAAAAATGAACATTGGAGTTATGTACCAAATTAATAAGCAAGAAAGTAAAAAAAGTTTTCAAAAATAAACTCAACTTTTGTAATTTAAAGTTATGAGCTGATTTTTATATAAGCAAATCAAATCCTAAATGATAATAATAAACATAAATAATTATTAGCATTTAATAAATTATTCTTAAAAAAATAAAAATAAGTCCTAAAATAGAATATAAAAATAATCATAAATATCTTACAATTATAGATGCACACAGTAGAATATTGCTAAAATGCATGTATATATTAGCATCAGACGTTCCGAAATGTAAGCCCACCGTGGACAACTCTTTGTTGACGTCAATTTCAAATGCACATTCTTCTAACAGACAGCTCATCTTATTATAATTTTAGGGTTTGAGGACAAGTAATTGAGTTATTTTCGAATTTTATTCATAAAAAAAGATAAGATGGTCAAAGACTAAAATCAACAAATTTTTGAGGCGAAATTTAACGGTAAATTACATTGGAAGAGAACAAAGTCAGTTTTAAGAGCACTGTAGCACAGTTTAGTTTGTGGAGTTTTGCTGTTGGCTCCATAACAATTGGCAGAATAAACCATCAATAAGTAATGAAGAGCAAACTGACAGACACCAACCTTAGTTGCTGTTCTCCATGCATGCATAGAAAGTTAACTGACAACGACATGGAATGAGGGAAACGATCAAACGAAAGAGAATTACAATGTGGAAATCGCCAGGAGCAAGGGCGCGGGGAGACATCGAATAGGATCCAGGTACAAGCGTCCTTGTTAATGTTAGTGTCATTAAAACGGAAAAGAAGGGCCACATGCTTCTGCTTTTGCAGTTACTCTTCATCATCGCTAGCAAACTTCAATACAGAAACGCTATTTCTATCCAATTGGATGCTTGTCCACTTGTCGACCGACTGGAAGTTGTCTCGTTCACAAAGTCCGAGAAGAAAATTTTCATTGGGATCTAGTAACCCTCCGTCAACTCAGAGAAAATAAAAATACATCGTTTCAAATCAGCTGACCAAACGATGAATCCTAATAGTTGCAAAAAATTTCAAACCTCATCTTTTCAGCATTCCAACCTCAACCTGCCTAAATATAATGGGAAACTAAACCTAAAATACAAATTAAGCTTTCATCCACTGATGACATGCTGACATGTGAAGAAGTTCCAAATTCACCCATCCAGGACTCAACGAGTTCTCGAAGAAGGCAATAACCCATGACAAAGATAAGTACTTCTGGTACCAAATCAATCCACATGTGACAGTTGCAAGAGCCTGGAAGAATCCTTTGATTCAATATTTCAACCACAAAACTTTGGATCCGATGCTAGAATTTTAATGGTTCATTGTTTAACAGTTCATTGATCATAATTTGTACCCGGGTGGAGCCAGGTGTGTGCATATGACAGTCTTCGACATACTCATAATCAGTGTAAATGGTAAAAGAATCTAAAGAAAAGAGCTACTAGGGGAGTTTTGTTACAAGTCAACTGGGAAATATTCTGGCCTTTTTCCTTACAATCTCGTCTCTCATGGCTTCGAAGCGCATGAAATGACGTGGGCCTTGAATTTCTCAAGCTCTGCTAAAACCTCCTCCTCTGGTCTGTAGATCAGATCACTCATGCGCCATATCTGCAGACAACATTTAGTATATAAATAATTGTAATTTCATTCAAATTTAATAAATTTCTTTTCTTGAAAGCAAAACAGACACTCGGAAGGAGAAAGAAGGAAAGTGAAGAGGAAAGAACAAAATGGACACTCAGGCTTTTGAAGCCAATATGTAAAACAAAGTTCTTTCAACAAATCAATCCCATCAAATTGGAGTAACTTCATAACCGACAGTGGAGGAATGTCATTACGAGCAGTTTCTGGTATAAGCATTTACAGCCAGCAACAATTCCCATGGTAACCCTTGATGATTATAAGCAACATGTTTTGCAATATTGGCAGGAAAGTGAGGTCTCCTGAAGCATTTTATAAACGTTTCTTATAATATACATGCCGGTAATGCTATTGTGCATTGCTTTTGACTTATCTGCATCATATGTCATATCTACCTTCATAGTCACAGTGATTACTTGAATTGTCTCAAGAAAAAAAAATGCATCGTTTGACACAAAGAACATTTACACCAGAAACTAGTAACTATACCTGCAATGTCCCACCTCCACCAGTGGTATCACAATCATCAGACACACTAACAACGGTCCATGCATCAGATGCATTCCAATGGAAGTCAACGACTTTGTCCCTGTATAAAAATTTAAAGATTGAAAATATTATGATAACAAAACAGGTAAAATCAAATATATTGTCTCCAACAAGCATAAGGAAATTGTTCTAAGAAACCAAAATCTTAGTTTGAATGAGGTGTATAAAACATAGAAGTCCTTATATTCCACCAGTGAAACCAAAAAATTTTGAGCATGATTTTTAGCCATTCCTCAAGATTTTGATTCATGACATCTCAAATTAGCTAGCAATTGCATCATTGTACCCACTTTTTCTTTTTTCAATAAAAGAAACATCATGAAGGACAGTGTTGTCAAAGTAAAAACCTCCCCATATGGTGGAACATTAAAATTTTCGTCAAGGACCCTTATATAACATCAAAAGATTAAAGATGAGGTCTTAAAAGCATTTATAAATACACAAATGTAAGAAATACAGGTGGACAGAGATACATGCATGCAACAAAGATCTTTAAGCAAACCAGTTTAATGGTGCCAGATTAAATGGACAGAGATAGCACTATAAGAAAATAAAAAGAATAAAAAGCAAAAGATGAAAGAATGTGAAAAGCATATTGAGATTAAGGCACAGATGGCATGGTTCAAAAGAATTGTCCAAATACATGATATATCACAAACTGAAAAACAATCACAAACCTGTGCCCAGCATGTTGGAAAAATAGTCCTGCAGGAGTACTAGGAGATCTTGAAGCACGTTCCACCTTTTTGCCAACCTGCAATATGTATGAGCAAGTAAAACCAACCACAAAATTATGCAGTAGCAAGTACAGCTATGACAACCTGAATAGCCAACGTGCCTGAACTGGCCATTGAAAGATAGGGGGAATACTTTCTCCTACTAAGGAAGAGGCGAGGAAAGCCTTGAACTATGTTATACATAAATAATTACGTAAAATAAAAGGAAAGATCGAGAAGTAAAGAAGATGATAAGGTCACTGAAAATTAAACACTCCTAATCTAAGTGCTTAACTACTAGCAATTACTTTATATCCTCTTTCACTAATTAACTTTCAAGTTATTAAATTATAGTTGTAACATAGACATTACAACAGTGCTTGATGATGAGGAATGATTACTTGGCAATTGTCTTCACTGCCATTATTTTTCACAAATATATTCAATCCTAGAAAGATATGAACCAGAATTGTCAAATCACAAACCACAACCTTTTTTTATTTGAAGAGAGTTAGGTAGTGTTTGGTTTCAGAAAACAGAGCCATTTTCTGTTTTCATTTTCTTGAAAAATGAAAAATATGAGTGAAAACGTGTTTGGTAATTAAAAATGAAAACAAGTTTTTAGAAAACAAAAATGAAAATGGATTAAAATATGAAAACAAAAAAAAAGATGTTTTCATTTGTGAAAACAAGGGATAAAAATTACTTTTTTTCTTATTTTTTGCAAGCTACTATATTTAAACACTTTTTAATATCATTAATTAATAAATATTTATTATATTTATAATTAGATGATATTAATAATAATATCATTGATTTTTTTTTCATTTCCTTATTTTTGTGTTTTTAGAAAACAATTTTTATTTTTGTTTACCATATACATTTTTATAAAACAAAAAATAAAAAATAAAAACTATTTTCTAGTAAATAAAAATAAAAAATAAAAACATAAAACATTTTTTCAAACCAAACGGAGCCTTAAATTTCCTATAATTGACTTGAAAATCTAAAACTATTTACATACAGAAATCATTCATGCAAACTAAAAAATGTATGGGTAGCATACAAAAACTACACAGTTCAACATATATGCATAGCCATGTGTATCATATGTGTTATATGCATACATGTATCATGTATTCAAAGGCAATTAACTGGAGATAGATCTAGCAAATACCTTGTCATAATCCCAAATGTTTAAGAGCCCATCCTCGGCAGAACTACCAAATACAGATGACTTGTCTGGAGACCACTGGACATGAGAAATATAAATTTGGTAAGAACAGATACATGATAACACTTATAATCATATTTGCAACAAAATAGGAAGTAAGACATAAGAATGATCAGGTTCTTTTCACACCTGCACGCATAGAACGGCAGCGTTATGACCATCAAACTTGTAAATAGGTGATCCAACTCCATTAGAAGTGAGATTTCTTCGATCAAACATACGAACAGTATTATCTGCAGAGCTGAGAGATCAACAAAAGAAGACAAAATAACGTTTTATCATTTACCCATCATTGCAAAACATGAAAAAGCACTTCCACACTAATAGTGCTTCATATTTTGATGCCAAAAGGAAAGTGCAAAACAGAAAGAAACATGGACAGAGACATACCCAGTCAGGATAAGATTATCATCATGGGGGTTCCAATCGACACAATGAAGATCAGCATTATGTGCCTTTTCAACCTGTCAACAAGAAACCAACAATTCAGCTAATCATCAGAAGCATCAATATATTTAAAATTAAAAATTACATGCAAGCAAATATTAACAAGATCAATAACAGAAAGCATAAGAAACATAAAGCTTTGGTTGATTCCACCAAGAGGATTCATTAGTGGAGAAAGAAGCTAAATGGTTGGCTTTCTGATATCAAATCACATCTACTTAAAAATGATTTGGAATAGACAATGGTAAAAAATGAAGTCCCAGACAGAAGGAACAGCAATGTATTACTAGAATCAGGAAAAACAATAGAACAAATTTTTAACAAGTTTGTGCAAACGGTTTGAAGCATTCCAGCCCCACCCATATAAAATGAGAAAAAAGCAGGTACAAAGTGATGCTACTTAGTTGACTGATTCAAATCATACACCATCCTCTCAAGTATAAGCCACTTTACAGATGTCAATCAAAAGCCCAGCTGGGTTTATATATATTATTCAGCAGTTATTATTATTAAAGGGGAAAAAAGGGGACCCCTCAAGCAGTTATTATTATTCAAAAAGCAAGAACTATTAATAGGAAAATTACCTTGACAGTAGGGCTAGTGCCAACTCGTGCATCCCACAATATGAGGCAGGAATCATCACCTACACTACAAAACTCCAGTGCACTTCAGCAGATATAAAAGAATTTGTCAGAAATTAGAGGCCATACGAACAATGTCAAAGGTATCAATACAAAAGCCACTACTACAGTGGAAGAAAAACCAATGAAAGAGCCATTTGAATAAACTTGCCTTTAAATGAAAATTTTATGAAGTGAAGGCAAAAAAAATATACATAATACAATAAAGAATCACATTCCTTTACATTTAATCCAAGAGAAAGCAGCTACCTAGATGGACAGAACGTAACATCTTCAACTGTCTCCTCATGCCCACAGAAGATGCCACGAGGACCTACGGAAGGCCCATCAGCAGCTTTATCATTACCTTCCCCAGGCTTGTTCTGTTTGATGATCGATCCACCAGATCCTGGAGATTTGGTAGGGTCTGTAGCTGTTGTAGTTATGTGGTCCTGGATGCTCCATAAAACCACTGTTTTGTCCTTCCCTGTCATAAAAGTCCTCTCATTAAGAAGAAAATCCCATCACATGAAATGAAATTCAGTTTTGCTGAGCCAACAATCCCCTTGAGGACTTGAAACAAAAATTGTAAAGGTATGGCCTCAAAGTCAACTTATGCAGTTATGCACTACAACACGGTAAGACATACCATCAAGCAAAATATGACAAAAGATACACTTCCTAAATCAGACAACGAAACTATTTCAAACATATCATATTTTTTATATGAGAAAAGGCGCATTCAGTTCTCAAATTAAATAATTTTAAATTGATTACTACTCTGTGCTAGGAAGATAATGACCTCACAACGTCTCATATGCTCATATCAAAGGGATAAGATCATGATTTCCACAAGAGTTTCGGTACTAAATATATCAATAAAAAGCAATAATTCCATGCAAGTACATAGTTAGTTGAATGAGGGAATTTCCCAACCTCCAGAGAGTACATAGGGTTCAGTGGGACACATTGCAAGAGCAAATTCTGCATTATCTTGATGTCCAGTCAAAATCTGCCGAAAAGAAAAATTATCACTGAGAAACAGTTCATCCCCCCCTCAAAGAACACATGCATACACACATGTAGAACACAGATAATTTTACTAAACATATAACTGAAATTTTGAAACAAATATACCAAATCTGGGCGAGAATGTGTAGCTCCAAGAACAGCATGTCGGTTTGGTTGAGCTTCAACATCCCAAATAAGAACCTAAATTTTATCATGTCACATGTCAGGTAGACTTTAACATCTATCAGAGAAAGAAAACATGACAGAAATATTGACTCATAATTTAATTCAGCAGAAATAACAAGAGTCTTACATCTGGACTATCAGTGTGTGTGGCTACAATCTTAGAGTTCTGTGGAAGTTCCCTGATCCTGTTCACCTGCGAGATAGTATTTGGCAGTCACAACAAAATAAACAATCATAAAGAAAAACAAAACAAAAGGATAAAGGAGAAATATAAAGTTTTGAGGCTATACATGCAAAGGAAAGAACTTAAGTAAGCATAATATCTATTTCCCGCAGATGCCATACATCATGGCTTATATTTTAATGCCCCAACTCAAAAGGAAGAATTACATTGTCAAATCAATTAGCTGAATTATATCCAACAAGACTGTTTGTGGATATTTCATCACACGACTTTACATAGTCACAAAAACATTTATTTTCAAGGAATGTGCAGGATTATACCTCTCCAGGATGTATGATGGTCTTGTACTTCTTCACAAATGGTGAGCGTGCTTCTTCATTAAACTGAAAAATATGAAGAAATCATCTAAATAAAGAGAAGAAAGCTGCATGCATCAGTTTTGAATTGCAGAACAAGGAAAAAGATCAATATAAATGAGTTACCTGAGATATGTGCTCAGCAGCAGCAACCCTAGGTTTGACAACTTCACAATTTGCAATCACAAGAGTATTTGGAACGCTACCATCAGTCTGAGATTATAACATAAAACAATTACCAAAAGAAAACTTGTCAAAATAGATGATAATAACATTTTCCTGAAAGAACGATGTTTAATAAAACAACTTAAGCACAAACTTATCATGTTTCACCCTTGTTCTGCCAAGCTTTTCTTTTAAGTTCCATTAACTCAACGAGTTCTAAGCATGATGCATCTATTTATGTTAATAAATTTTCCAGAAAGAGCATTTTTGTTATGTAAAACTTTAAGCGACTGATAAAAAATGAAAAAAGAGGGTCCATCCATTCAGTTTGCAACTATATTCAAGCCCCATCAAAGAAAAAAAAAATTGCCGATGATGGAAATACACTTGCCTGTTCAGAGAGGTAGAGACGCTGACGATTCTTGTAAGTAGCTTGCTCAAGCTGTGGTCCCCAGCTGTTGAAAACCAAATTAAACTATCGTCAAGAAATATGAAAAAGTGGGGAAAAACAAAGAAAGGAGCTAAATTGGCAACAATCTAACACAAAATTGCAGCACAAAAAAAAAATCCTCGTTCCTCAACAGCTACAGACGGTTAATGCCAGCTATCTCACATGTGAAACACAAGGATAACTAAAAAATTACAGGATTCAAGAAACAAAAACAGATTAGCAGCTCAGCAAAAGCTCATTAGGGTTTAGCATAAAAAATTCAAGCCCTTTAGAAACAAACATAATAACCCAAATAATCCGTAAACACAAAAAGAACATCTTTTTCAGCAACAAAACCAAAAACCCAAGCTTTTGCAACGAAAATACCAAAAAACACAAAACCCTAAAGGGGGTTTAAGGAGAAGAACCGGCAAGAGAGAGAAGGCCAAACGAGATTGTGATTGGCAAGCCAGTCATAGAGAACAGGGACCAAAGACTTCCACTGAGTGTACTTCTCATCAACGCTTGGTTGTTGGGCTTTCTTTCCTTCTTTCATTTTACCAGCGCTTTGTTGTTGTTGTTGTTGCTGCTGTTCTTTATCGTCCTTTGGCTTTGGTTTTCGGCCTCTCTTCTTGGGACCTTGTTGCTGTTGTTGTTGTTGAGGTTGGGGAGACTCCATTTTTGAGATTGAGAGTGTTGCTGATACTATAAAAGCAAAGAAAGAAGGAAAAAAACAACGATTGGTTTCCGGGAACCCGAGACCGGACCCTACTGGTACTGTGATGGGGTTTGGAAGGGAATGGGAAAACTCAAGTAAAATGGTGGTGACCGATCAGGGTTTTTGCTAGGCTACGCTCTTTAAAAGTAGAGTGATGTACACGCGGCAAGTTGGTAGAGCGTAGCCTGTATCAATAGGGGCTCCCGCATTGCTGAGATGTTGAATGTTTGAGGGATTCAGCCATTTACTGGTCAAGGCTTCGCAACGTTTTACTAAGCGGGGGATTTACAGTTCGCAGGGGTCTCCTAGTGGCCTCATTTGGCGATTGATGGGTGCTTGCCAGCTTGCTTGACGACTGCAGCGACTGACCTGGAAGTAGGAATCCAAAGACCCGAAAGTTAACTTTTTCCTTGGCATTCCTGACGATTTGTTTTCTTTCTACCAATGCAATAGTAATCTAAACTATGGTTTTTGATGGGGATATTGGGTTTTGGAGGTTGATGGAATTCTAATCAGTTCATTTTTTGTCCTCCTTTTTTTTCTTTTGGGCTATGATCTGATATTAAATTCATTTAAATGAGAAAACTAAAATTCCGTCTCATTCCACCGAGGGGATATCATACATTATACAACCTTAAAAACGATACTGTCAATCCAACAGCAATACACCAAGGTGGAACAGCGAGCCTCAATGCTTTTCGACCGCCTAGTTGACACAACATTTTAGCTCTTTTAGCTTTAGGCAACGGTAACACTCCTTCCTTTATACTGTTGTTTCTGTTTTCTTATTAAGGTTCAAGGTTGATAATTGATACCATGAAGCAAAAATCCATGGGTTGGTAAAAAATTCTTCGAAACCCACTTAAAGAAGTGGTTTTCCCACCAAAGGATAAAACGGATCTTCACCTTGTTCACTCAAATGCTTCAGATTGAAGCACAGTGTGCAAGTTAAACAATCCGCTACAACCACGAGTCTGAAGTTCGAGCATGTACTAAGAACACCCAAGTGATATCAAAATGTTATCAAAGAAGCTATCCTCATCTGATAAATAACAAAAATGTCTGTAAGTAACAGAGTCAAAGTCATGATCCCTCACATGACACCATACTTTCTTAGCAAAACTTTGTAAACTGGTTGAACAATATAAAAATCAGACATAAACACCAGCTGAAAGTAGCAGAAACAATGACCCAAAGCCCTGCAAGGATATCAAGATCAAGCATCAGTAATGCACAAAAACTACATGAATTATAATGATACATCCAGCTAAAACAGATACAACAAGCTATACCAGGAAGACAGATGCCACTCCTCCAGTGATGAGCTCCTTGGCAAGAGACCGATTTCGCTTGGAAGAAGTTGCTTCATAGCTGCATAATTTGGGAAAGAACTTTTCATAAAATTTTCCAAATATAATTTCAGACCTATAAAGCATTGTATCAAATGGGTTCTTGTTTTGGGCAAGGTCAAACAGTATAGCAATTAGAATCTACTCATAAGAACGTAACTTAATCTTTACAAACATCAGCAGTATAAGCAAAGTTAAAGCGTTCTTAAGAAATCAAATCAAGTGAAAAGAAGTTTGAATAATTGAAAGGTAGCATTGCTATAGTTTAATGAAAAGAGACCTCTAAGTTTAGTTCCAACAGATTTGAAGTTCTTTATTCGCTAGTGAAAAGAAGTTTGAGTGGATTCATAGGTAACATCAGTACAGTTCAATAAAAAGAGACCTCTAAGTTCTAACTATGAGATCCAATGCATATGAAGAAAATCAATACTTTCTCAAGCAAAACCAAGCATGAGTAGATTTAAAGGTCCATCGATAAAGTTCAATGAGAGGAGGACTCTAAGTTCTAACTGTAAGATCCAACTCATATCAAATTCTTTAGTCGCAAAATGCTCCCATCCTCCAAAACCAGAAAAACAAAGTGATGAAATAGTAAAATCAACAAAACGTGATGAATGAAGAAAGCTTTACAATAACAAACTAGACGAGCTCAGATACAATTTTAGACATGCAAAAGGTTGATCTATCTCTCTTGGAAATCTGCTTCATGCCTTAGGCCATGGAATTAACAGATAAAAGTTCAAACTTGAAAAAACCACAACCAAACAGAAAAACCAGATACTCTTTGAGACGAGAATTTTTGAAACCCAAAAGGACCCTAAGCATATATGGAAAGCCACAGACTCCAACTGATAGTTATTGAAGACAAAGGTAATAGAAGTGAAATGTAGCATGCTACCCACCAAAAAACACAAAGGGGGAATCATCAACTTCAAATTCACACTTGTGTTATATTCTCACCAAAAATAAAAGAACAAATTGTGGCCTGCAAATTGGCTATCAAAACTAATTTCTTTCCAAACGTCTCATCAAATCTATGAAAAGGTACATTCTAAATCAAGAAGTTAAGTTCCAATTATGCTAAGTTTTCCCTATTTTATAACCAATCATCAATTATAAATTATACAAAAATACCCAGATCTACTTACACAAAATATCAAGTATATAGGGGGAGAAAACCGAAAATAGCCTCCTAAATCGAATCTAGTAAGAAGAAAAAAAATGAAATGTATTATTGCAGAAAAGGAAGAAATTTTACGGAGGAGATAAGATCAAGGTTCTTACATGAAGAATGAAGCCGTGACGACAAGGCCAATGGCGAGCATGACGACGGCTAGGGTTGGGTACCACGCATCTGGCACTGGACTCGTTATTGCTTTTGCAGGAGGAGCCTGAAACAAAATCATAAATCAAATTCACAGAAACAGAAAAAAGGAACCCTAGAAATGCTCTGATTTCAATTGAGAGAGATTTACCATCGATCTTTGTCTCTTTGCTTCGGATTGCGGAGGTCGATCGAAGAGAGTGGAAATAACGCGCGACTAGCTGCTAGTAAGAGGTTTTGAGTTTTACGAGTCTTTGCACTCTGAAGTCTGAAGCCTTAGGTGGTGTAGGAACTTAGGATTGGGTACACAGTGGTGTATGAAATATTTTTGTTCTTGGGCCTGGGCGTGTTCGGGGTTGTTGATCTGATGATGTGTACCAAAATTATTAGACGCTGGGAAAGTCAACGTTGAAGGTGCTGAGGATTGTTTCGCTTTGGGCTCCCAACTATTTTGTTTTTTTACAAAAGACTTTTTTTTTTAACGAAGGAGACTATAGCATCTAAGAGAAAAATTTTAAGCAAAATGGTTTACAATGTTATTTAATAAAAATTTAATAATCATCTAAATTTTTTTTATTTTATTATAATCAATTAAATTTTTAAATATATTTTTTATTAATTAAACTTTTATTAAATAAAAATTGAATAACTATCAACATTTATTTTTATCTAATTAGGGTTCAATAGGAGTTAAAATATATATAAGGCTTTAATTAGATAAAAATAAAAATTTAGAGATGTAACTGATTTGAAATAACAAATTTAAGACTTATTGATTATAATAAATATTAAAAACTTAAATTATTGTTAATTATTGTTAAATTTTTACTAAAGAACTTTTTTTTACAGTTTTATCAATAAATTATTAATTTTAAAATCTACTTTTAAACTTTTTAATGCCTTAAGAATGACCGCATAAACCAATTCTTCTTTATATTTTGCTATTTCATTTATGAAATATGTGCTAAAAATATTAATTGCTACTTTGCTTTTCCATTGAACATGTTTGGTTAATTATATTTGTAATGCTAAAGGAAGAATCCATTAAAAATCCACAACCTAGGAAAGTTCTATCCTTCATTCATGAATCATGGGGTTAAGTCTCTGTGCCTCTCATATCAACCCATATTTGCAAACAGAAAATAACAATTTCTTTGGAATTCAACTGCTTTTGATGGTATGAAAGAGATGCATTTCATGATACAAAAAATATTCTATACATTGAGTGGCACGGGAATCCACATAACAAAAAAGGTGTTGTGGAGGTTGGGGGAATACAAGAGATGTGTACTCTTTTTTTTCTTCTAAGAAGAGGAGATCAAAGATGAATTCAGAAAGATTCTGAGTCTCAAAATGGGAAATTTGCGCCATCTTATTATGGAAACACGACTACAACAATGCAATTTGGGGTGTGGATCATGAAATCCTTCCATTATAAAAAGAAAAAGAACAATTCCTTTTATGCTCAAAGTGCAGCTGCATGATGAAAGCTCCTCCACTTGCCAATCTGACGCTTATTCAGGTTGATACAAACTAGCAGTAACATCCATCAGAAGTTCTGAATTAAGAATCTTGCTGCACAATTTTGCATTCCTAAGAGTTTCCTTGTTTATTTCCCATTTTCAAAACCTAGCACAACTTTTCATCAGCATGGGGGAGCACTTGTTGCAGTGTCAACAAGTTTTGGCATCCAAAAATTGAAGGACAAGCTCATGCACATGCATGGAAGAGGGGTTTTTCAATGCGAACCTGGCCAGAACCTGATCATAACACCATGTTCACTGATGCTGCCCCCAGATAATCTTTGCATTTTTTGCCAGAATCGACTGCCCCTCCCTGTTCGCAAGGGACCAGAACTACAGTGCCTCCCAAATCTTGCCGGTGAACTAAACAAATCTGACGCGGATAGTCCTATCTCAGTATCAAGGCTGGAGTCATAGTTGGGAACCGAATAACGGCTTCGCATGGGATCAGTCGACTGTCCTGAGCGAGTACCAACTCTAGCATCCAAATAAATAGACAAATCATCTTGACTAGAGCCACTTGAGCCTACTTCTTTGGCCTCGTCACATTCATTACATACTAGTTTTAAAGCCTGAACAACCTCACCCATAAAAGGTCGGTTTGATACCTCTGGTTGAACACACATAGAGGCAATTGCTGCTACTTTGGCCACGCTATCGAAAGGGACATTAAGACCTAGAGATGGGTCTACAATTGTTTCTAACCCTTCTTTGCTTGCTAGAAGGGGACGGGCCCATGCAACTAGATTCTCCTGACCAGGTGGCTGTGTCATATCTACCGGTTTTTTCCCTGTCAGAAGCTCAAGAAGGACAACACCATAACTGTAAACATCACTCTTCACAAGAAGATGGCCGGTCATTGCATACTCGGGAGCTACATACCTGGACCAAGGAGTCATGAGGAGTAAATGTTAAAGTACATTAGCACTAACAAAGAATGATAGATAACTAAAAGATTTCTAGAGCTAAGCTAGGACATCGTATACACAAAACCAATTGGTCAATAGAACGATGGTTAATATGGTCTTGAGCTCCAGCAATCATCTTTTGTTCCTTAATAAATTCTCTTAAAGAGATAAGATGGCATTGCAGTAGTACTAGGTCATGTTAAATAAAATATTTTTGAGCTTTGCTCTAAAATGCCACTAATATGGAATTATATTCTGAAATTGATTTTAGATACCAAGAAGGCATAGAATAATGTCGTTCACTGCTTAAAAAACAGCATTTTTGGTCATTAGTGAGGATCAAAGAAGACTACACTGATATGAAGGCTATCATACTGATGTGTGTGTCCATATAAGTCTTGCTATCCACGTTGTCTCATCAAATTTCTACGAAGATAAGCATGGGAAGTATTTCATTATTTTATGCTTATCCTAAATTTAAATAGCTAAAGAGACAAGGATTTTCACGTTGTGTAGAATCATCGAAACCTGCTATATAAATCAATTTCCAAAGTGCTTTCTTTGTTAAAAAGAGATCCTCGAAGAATATACCTCTGCTTAGGGTATTAATGAGTTGCTTCCATTTATTTGAAAGAAAAGCTATTTCCCACTAGCATGAATAAATCAAGGTATAATATCAACAAGCATATCAAACATAGAATATTTTCTAATGCTCATGCCTCACGCATATAGCAGGCCAGGTTGGCACAGCCACACCAATAACAAGAATCTGCCAAAGCTAAATCAAGTAGAGTAGAGAGGTTTCATACCCAAAAGTTCCCATGACACGTGTCGATACGTGCTTGCCTTCCTCATCCATAGCAGTTCGAGCCAAACCAAAGTCAGACAATTTTGGCGTGAAATCATGCTCCAACAAAATGTTGCTCGACTTAAAATCCCGGTGTATGACACATGGGCTAGAATCTTCATGGAGATAAGCCAGTCCACGAGCAGCACCGAGGGCTATCTTTATCCGGGCATCCCAGTCAAGTGGTGCAGAGTCCTTGTCAAATCCTGAAAACAGACAAAACAGAGGCTAACATAACCATTTTCTACAGAATTGAACAATAAGAATGCTGAATATTGTAACCCTGGAATTTATCCACAGAAAGCACACATTTTAACTACCATGCAAGTGAGATTCAACACTGCCATTTGGAATAAGTTCATAAATCAAGCTGCGGTTGCGCTCCTCCGTGCATATGCCAATCAATTTCACCAAGTTTCTGTGGTGAAGACGGCTAAGCATCTCCACCTCAGCCAAGAATTCCCTGCCACCTTGTTGATCATCTCTCTTCAGAACTTTGACTGCCACTTTAGTTCCATCCTCAAGAACACCACTATAAACACGACCAAATCCACCTTCCCCAAGTATTCTTGAAGCATCAAAATTATCAGTGGCTTTTTCTACGTCACTTGCACTGAAGGTCTTAGCAGATCTTGTATAAGCTACAACACTAGAACCAAATGACAGTAATGTGGAACTAAGACCGCTTCCAACCATTGACCCAACAGAACCTGAAATTTTCAACAAATTTTCCCACTTCAATAGGGGGAAACATACAAGAAAAGTTTTTGATGAATGCAGTTTTCTGCCTATAAATGCAATCCAAAGTTAATGCGAAATGTTGCCACTAAAATTATTTCGGACTAAAAGCAACTTAATAGATGTCAGAAGCAATGTGAAAACAGATATTAATATTCATAAATAGTTCGAGGTATCAGATGATATGCTTATTGTTTTCTTCAGTAAATTGATGGATTGAGAAAACTGATAGGCCAGAATATATTTAGCTAAATATAACCTGATGGTTTGGCAAGAGATGATGGCGGATGCCGTGGAGTTGCTGCTTGTTGCCTAGCATGATCCCTAAGTTTGAAAAGCAAAACCCATGCAATGGCGGAGCATAACAAAAGAGCCACCAACATGGACAGAACAATCAGAGCAATTATAGCGCCACTAAGCATGTATTTATGCTGCTTCCCATGCACATCAACACCCAGGGGCTCTATCTCCCTTGCATTGTTCTCATTACCAGAATATGGTCCACCATCAATTATACCAATGTCAGAAGATGGCAAAGGTGGAGAAGAAGGCAAACCTAGAAATCCACTGTTACCAAATATTTCCAACAGAATATATGTAGAAAGAGAAGAAAAAAGAAAAAGGAAAAGCCAATGAAATGAGCATGTACATACCAAGATAGCGAACGTATAATACTTCATAATCCCCAAATAATGAAGTGTTTATAGCAACTTGTTTATGCCAAAATCTTTGATAAGTTAAAAAGGATGTGGTGTTATCAATTTTTTCACCAAGTGGTACCAAGTCAATAAGGACAACGGTTTTCTCTGGTTGCTCACTAGCGGCATTAGCTCCAATAATGCGAACTTGACTTTGTTTCATAAAAACTCCAGCAGCAATTTCCTCTGCCAGCTCAGAAACCAAAGGGAAGAAAGTGTACAGTGCAACACTCAGACGTAATCCAACTTGCATTGGCAAGACACAGCCACATGGTGATCCAGGAGGAGCATTTGTATAAGGTTCTGTGCAAATAGTAGTTGAACAGTCTACATATACAATCAACAACATATTACACATTCGTATGATAGAAAACACCTTGGAGATGAAATTATACAAGAAAACTTAAATGCAAAACAATGAACCAAATGTTTAACCTTCATTGGGAGGTGGAGGTGGAAAAGACATAACTGGTGGTGGAGGTGGCACCTTGGGACTCCTCAATGGAGACACGGACGGAGAAACTTTTGGGGAGATAAGTGGCACTTTGGAAAAGCAACATCCATAAGCAGAAAATAGAGAAAATGGGGATATAACACAAACAAATATATAAAATATAAAGTAATATTTTATTCTTACTTTTGGTCTGCCTAGATGCAGTCATTGGAGATGGTAAAGGAACAGGAGAACTTCCTGATGAAGGAAAAGCAGAGCATATTGGGGAAACCGAAGAATCAGCAAAGTAGTAAAGATGTTAGAAATCAAAATGACCATTTTAACTCACTTTTCAGACTCTATTCTTAAAGAATCAATTTAGCATTTGCTAATCTTATACCAGAATGAAAGGGTGCAGGAGCATAGTGTTTTCGCCTTCTTCCAAGAGGAAATGCTGGAGAGATGACTGGACCTATATAAATATTGAAATGAAACATTATCGGGATGTGATAAGCCCATATAATGTTAGAATGGCTGGGACAAGTCTTAGGCACAAAATATCAGACCTTGCATTTTTAAAGGCGGAGGTGAAATCAGGTACGATGATGCCGGAGCAGGACTGATTCTTTCATTTCTTTTATGTTGATGCTTATGAAACGAGATTGAAGGTGACAATGCTGGAGAGTTATACCCTTCATTCAAAGGAGTAAAAGATGGAACAGGAGAATTACCAGGGTGCCTCATAGCTGTCGGTGCAGAAGGAGATATGGCTGGGGAAGAACCTGCAAAAGATATCCTCAGCAACTCAATGGGGTTGGTATTAATAATCAAATTAAAAATTAGCTCAATATTTGCTGCTTCACAATTCACAATATACAGCAATAGAACCAAACTAGGTTTTAAATCTATACGAAAATGACACATCAAACTGTTGAATGATATATACCTGGAGCAATTGGCTCCAGAACAGGGGCCTTATTATTTGATGAATTTCTTTGATTAGCAATCGGGGGGAAAGTACTTGACCTAATGAAGTAAATGGCTGGGGAATTTTGTGGTGAATTCCTCAACGGTGGTGCAATTGGAGCTACAGATTAGAATAAAACAAACTGTATTAGAACCACACTCAATCTATAGTCCACTCAGTTATTTAACGAATATCTTTGGCATAGCACCGGGCTTACTTAGATGGACGACAGGAGAATTTTCTGGAGAATTCTGTGACGGTGCTATTGATGGAACTGCAAGTTAGAACAAGTGCATCCTTTAATTAGAACCACACTCAACTTTAAATTTACCCAGGTATTTGATGCATTCCTTTGATTAGAAAGCATACATGGGTGGATAGCTGGTGAATTTTGAGGCAAATTCCTTGTAGGAGATATAACTGGAGCTGCATATTAAAGCCGACAGAACAGAATTAGAACCAATGTCAATTTACATTAACTTGAGGAACAAGAGAAATCCTTTTAGTCATATGCCTGGAGCATCTGGCACTGAGAGAGGAGACTTATTAACTGGTTCCTTTTTCTGAGGAGCAGTTGGCGACTTTGATTGCGTGCGTACTTGAACAGGCAGAGGTGGAGGAGCTGTATTAAATGCGGGTAACACCATTGGAGTACTTGGTGCCAAGGATGGTACACGTTCTTCATTAGTAAATGATGGCAAAGTTGTATAGTGTGTTGGTGGTTCCGTTGAATTACTCGGCGACAAGGAATGAGTATGCCATTCTGTTGCTTCAGGCTCTGGGGAAGACATAAGAGGTGGTAATGCAGGAGGAGAATGCAAACCTGACCCTGGATTATCAAGCCAGAAACATCATAAAAACTCTCAGGAACAACAACAGTTGACACTGGAAAATGAATTACCATTTGGCTGAGAAAGTGTGCTTGGTATATCGCTTCTTTGTTCAACGGCACCAGGGATTCCTTCTGTAGGAGGATACATAGAAAACTTTGCCCGAGATGGGGATGCATTGTGCTCTAAAACAAGACAAAAAAAGGTGAATATATTCTGCATAAATTCAAAGGAAGCATACAACTTGACACCCGTTTTTCATTTATATTACTGAAAAGTATGTTAGAAATTACAAAATCCTCTTACATGAACACCAAAATGCAATTTATCAGGCAATATTTTGTTTTTGCTTATTACAGAATCATGACTGAGTAGTGCAATTTATGAGATCAAATAGGTTATCATCCATGATCTGTAAAAACAATAATATCAAAAGAAGACTTAATTTCCAACTAATATAGGCACAAAGATCTTTGTTGCTATCAAGAAAATTTTTTCTAACAAAGAAGGCCTTTTTTGGATATATATATATATAGGAATATAGTTAACATAAGAGATCAAAGTCAACAAACTTTTTTTCAGAAACATACCTCAATTGTATGAAAGAATGTGTAAGGCAACCATAGAGTACCGTTAATAGCTAATTATGCTATAAAATGCATTTCTCAGGTAAAGCCTGGAGGAAAAGTCATTCCTTAGTTACACCCAAAGAGGAGCCTGAGTGAAGAATGATAATGCTTCAAGCCTCTGGCTAAGGAAACTGTCATTAATTCTATAACATGATGGAATAATACAGATCCATGAAGATGCTGGATCCAAATTCAGTGGATCCAAACTCTACAAGTGAATGTTATTCTAAAGAGCAGTTTCTAACTAAAATTTTGCGAACAGAATTCAGCACAAAAGTTGACAAGCCAAAGTTTCCTGGCATTAGCAGTTGATACCAGTCATAGAAACAACATTTGCAAGATCAAATGTGATAAAAAGATTGTTCACTAGCACAAAATTAACTGAACTCATTAAACAGTTAAAACCCAATAACTTTGAGCAACTGGTATTATCAAATCAAATATTTCAAATAAAGAGAGCTGGAAAGATATGGAAATTTACCTGAAGATTCTTGAACAACTAAAGCAAAGCCAGTGATGCAGAGTTTGGCAAGCTGGAGAATCAGTGGCATCAACATCGCCATCCCATAAAGCACCAAATCACATCTAAACCAAGCTCCCTCAATGATGATGATGATGAAGAAAATTAAGCACCAAATAAATTAATAAAAAATGAAACTGTATTATATTAAGAGATAGGCAGGTTACTTGAAGCAAGAAGAAAAGGGAAGTTAGATTAAATGCCCCCCACAAACAGGGTAAAACAAGCAAGGCTTAGTTTTTTTAGGCTGTATTTGGAAAAACCCAGAATTGGGTTTGGCAAAAAGAGGCAAAGCAAACTTTTTTTTCCTTAAAACTAAAGTTCTCAACTTTACAAAGTTCAGTTTTTTCCATGTTTGACAGAACCGTTTTTGCCTGCATAAGTTGTTGAACACAAAATAAAAAAACAATAAATTTAATGACAACACAGAGACACCTCACAGAGGCACAGTTCCAAGTAACAGACAGAATTTTTTTAAGATAGAAGAAAAAAATTATAAAAAGAAAAGATTTTGACAGTTTGGTGGATAAGTGTCCGTAAGAGAGGGATTAAAAAAAAAAAAACTTAGTTTAATACTAGTAAATGTATATGTCAGTGGAGTTAGATTTAAGTGGTGTTTTAGTGGGGTTTGAACCAACTTTTTTTACCTTGGATTGGAATTTCGAAGGATTTGTTTAGTGGATTTGGCTATTCTTAACTTTCTTGCTGATTTTCAGTTGATCCTGATGGCCAGTAAAGGAAAATGACTCCAGTGAAAGTGAGGCTTGGAATTTTTCAAGTGCCTGTTTTGACACATCAACCGTTTCTTATTTCTTGATGATCTTAGGATAAATGATCCGTTTTTAAGACAAAAGTAAAGATCCCACCAAAAAATAAGTTTTAAGAATATTCTGAACTTTGGTTGCTTGATTGTCATCAGAAGTAAGAGGCAATCAATTAGTTCGAAATATACGAGTCTTCTGTGAAACAGAGTTTGTGTCCACATTGTTTTTATGCATTCAGGCAACAGTTTTTGTTCGTTGCTGCTCATTAATGACCTTCGAAGATTCAAACAAATTTAAAGGTCATCATTCTGTTTGATAAAGATAATGGACCCACCAAACCAAGAAGCACAAATTGTCAATTACATTGGAGTTTCCATGCCAATCAATTTGTTAAAGTTGATGACTTTAAATGAATTAAGCCATCCTGTAAATTAGTAATGAGAAATTTCCTTTTTCTTAGATTTTCTTTTAATGCACCGACAAGTTTTAATTGTCATAACTTGTAACCAAGTTTAGGTGGCAATTAAAACAAGAGATTCTAAAGTCTAAAACAGGTCTTTACCCATTTATCCATATCAGGAAAAGCTGCTATTACTAGTAGAGATATGCCAAAAAAACTAAAAGAGCACAGGGAGAAACTACAACATTGTTCCATCAACATAGCCAGGCTCTATGAAAAAAAAAAAGGGTAGGGTTTGCTTGGAATATAGCTAAAGACCACATTTTTCATAAAAATCGCAAGAATGACGATTGCTGAGGATGATGTGGGAAGGTGAAGAAAAAAAAAACATGGTGCATGTGAGTAGAAAGGGGACCCAAGAGGCTGCCTCCATTGAATTTCAATTGAACGAAGTCTTCGTTGTCATTTACTTTTGGTTGATGTTTGGTGAGAGCTTAAAGTTTTTAGTTTCTAAAAGAGTAGTATGAAACAACAAAGTATGAAGCTAAAGCAGCTAGTAAGCCCTGCTTGCATCTGTGAAAGTTGTCGGATCTGAAATATTTTTTCTTGTTGTCTTTTACTATATGTTCGTATGCGATTTTTTTCTCTTTTTCTTGAATTTTCTAAGTGTTTTGCTTTTCCATGAAATAATATTGTTAGGTTTTCACAGTGTGATTTCATATAAGACAGCATCATACAGCAAAGGCTACAACAAAGGACAGATAGCCTATTCTGACTGCATTTTCATTTTTGTCAGCAACTTATAACACAAGGCGAAACCCCACACCCTCCAATTTTTGGATTATTTTGTTCTATCCAATTTCAATAAACTGTATATATATTGTTCAAAAATAAATAAATAAACTTCATATATAATGTCGGGTTTTATTTTATCAAAAGGAATTCAACTTCTTGGATCATCACAATGAAAATTGTCAACGATTTCATCAGACAATAAAGAAACATATGGATGTAGACACCTTACTATAATTTTCAATTCCACCCAGCTAGATTTCAAGTGGACCTTTGAAAAATCAAAGAAAGAAAAATGTCTCTCATTTGTCTTGAGAATCTATACAAATATATAAAAGCAATCCCTAAATTGGGATTATTCACCAAGGAGTTCCAATTTTACGTTACATGTTGCGCAACAATTGGGTCTTTATTTAGGTACTTGTCAATTTTTGTTGCATCACCTTGTTGTGGAAAAAGAACGAATAAAAATAAGAAAGGAGTAAGAGAGAATTTTAGAGACTTTTGGCGATGGAAAATACTACAATAAACAAAAAAAAAATGTAGAGTGAAAAGAAAAGAAAGAAAAATGAAAAGAGAGAGAGAGGGCGTGAGATGAGAGAAGATAGGTTAGTGCCGGAGGTTTTCTCAGGTTCACCACCACCATTTAAGCCAATTTCAGAAGATAAATTAATCAAATCTATACAAATATATAAAAGCAATCCCCAAATTAGGACTGTTCACCAAGGAGTTTCAATTTTGTGCTACGTGTTGGGCAACAATTGGGTCTTTATTTAGGGGCTTTTCAATTTTTTTTTTTGGCATCATCTTGTTGTGAAAAAAGAACAATTAAAAAAAAAAGATTGGAGAAAACGAGCATTCTAGAGACTTCTAGAGATGAAAGATATTACAAACTCCAAAGATAAATGAAAAAAACAAAGTAGAATGAAAAGAAAAGAAAGAAAAATGGAAAGAAAGAGAAAAATGGTGTGAGATGAGAGAAGATAGCTCACTGTCAGAGATTTTCTCAAGTTCACCACCACCATTTAAGCCAGTTTCAAAAGATAAATTATTGGTAGTTTAAAATATAATGCATCTCACATTAGATGGAAATATTTAATTATCGATGAATAAAATTAATTTTTGTATTAATTTTATTTATATTTTAAATAATTATGTTTGAACAAAAAAATTATTATATGATAAATGGTCATAACTATTTGAATATAAATAGATTATTATTCATAAATATCATGATTATATAGAAGTTTATAACTATCTTAATAGAAATTTATGTCTGTTTATTCATTATAAATAAATATTTCAGTATAACTATTTTCACTGCTTCTGATTAGAGAGTTTGAGGTTTTGTTGTATCCTAAAAGCATAATTGCCTTTAAGAAAGTGTTCTTCACGCCTCAAAGCCAAATTTTTTTTTTATTATTCCTCTTTTCTTATTTATTTTTTCTACCTATTTAAAGGCAATTATGAGAAATTTATATGTCGCATAAGAAAATTACAAGAAAAAGAAATCAGCATGATTTGGAGATCAATATTAGAGGAGGCTCAAGATGTCAAAGGATTAATGTTTTTATGAACCAAAATGTTAATTTTCATAAAGATCTTCATTAGAGGTATGTGTTTTATTTTTTGCATAATTGCTGATAAAAAATTAATTGAATAAGATAAACATGTTAATAGTTTATTTCATTAGCGTGTAAAATCAAAACATGATATGCAAAATATTGATTACATTGCATAAGTTTATACATATACTAAAATTGACTCCACAATTGGGTTTAATGAATTGTATTATATTTATTTGAAAAATCAGTACTCATAAAGATTGAGATGAAAAGTAGTCTGAAAACATAAAAGAGAAAGACATGAATTGATCTACAACCAAAAGAATTATCACTTATTATCAAGTAAGGAATTAAATTGCGTCATAACAGAATGGTTGATTGTTTAATTGTCATGTCTTTGTTATATATAGAACAGGCAAATTGTTTCATAGTTTCTATGAAAAACAATTGAAAATGGGTAAAGGAGTTTACCATGAAAAATTAGATGTAATTGGAGAATATATGCAGAAAATAAGATTTGGCTGTAATATTAGTTTTACGGATTAATTGATGGATAATAAACCAAATAATGATTATTATCGGAAACATGGGCAGTGTGATATGTATTTTGCCTAGTGGGTGTATTACACTAGAAGTAATTTTACAAAAAAAAAAATTATTGTAAACAATCACAAAGTGAAAATCATAAAAAGCCTTCAAAGAGTTAATCAATGGTTACAAAAAAGCATTATTGCTTTTTGCATATGGGATATTGATTAAATGAAAAGACATGCTATTAAAAAAAATATTGAAGCATTTATCAGTTACTAAAATTTTGAAGGATGCTCATCAATGCCTAATTAGGCATGTTTATAAATTAGAAAAGAACATGCAAATTCAATGTTCCAAAGGCACCAATACATGTATGTGTTTAATTCCATTTTGTGATGGTATGGAGAACATTGGTACAGTTTGTTATGTATTACGAAAATGAACTAAATGCTATGAAATTTTCTTTCTTATACATAGAAGAATGATATGGACTATGGAGATAGAATTCCACTATCCAATTAATATATTATTGGTTAAAGACAATAAAAGTATTGTTGTTTCTTGTACAAAAAAAAATGACTTTTTGCAAGCTATTAAAATGAAAAATGAATAATTTTTTGAGGTTTTCAATAGTTTCATGGCAATGGCAAGGATGCGGCTGATTATATACTATATTAACATATGGGCTTAGATAATAATACTAGTTTGTGAAAGTCGTAAGCTTTAAAGTTAGCCAATCAATGATTTAACCAATGCAAATTCATAATAAATTTTTGCATGAAATATGAGTAGAACTTATATTATAATTATTGTTTATACTATTTTATAAAAATGATTTATTGGATTCATATTTCATAACTTGCATTGATATGGTGATCTAGATATGAACATATTGATCACAAAATGATTGTGAAAGTATTTGAAATTGGAGTTAAATATACTATAGACTTTTATTGTATATAGGTATATTGGTCCTATGAATAAAGTTTGGATTTATTATATATCCAAAAATATTTTGACTAATTAAAAGTGGTAAATAACCGAGATATATAGGCTACACAATGGTGGAAAAATAAAGTTCTTATAAAACTTTGAAATCAAGTTTCAAGATTTCAATAATCATAAAACTTGGAATTGACCATTGGGCAAGTACTATATGCATTGAAAACTCATGATAATATTTGAGGTAGTTGGTTTTCACTAAAAGCCATCATTATAAATGAGATAATTTTAATAACTAAATCTACATGATTTATAGGTATGAAATGGATTATTATGATTAGTTTAGAATAGCCATAAGCCAAAATTGATGCCACAATTTTGATCATGTTATGATATTTTTTGTTATGTATATGGTCTAATTCATGGATTATACAAATAATTTATCATCTATGGTTTTATA